AAGGAAGAAAGAAGGAAGGAAGGAAGGAAAGTTATGAAGGAAGGAAGGAAAGGAAGAAAGGAAAGGAAAGGAAGGAAAGTAATGAAGGAAGGGAAAAAAGGAAGGAAGGAAAGAAGGAAGGGAGGAAGATACAAAGAAACAGAAAAATCTTTGTGTGGAATGAGATAAAGGGGGGTGTGTGGGTTGTGGAAAGGCTATCGTGCTCCAATAAGGCCCCAGGTTGTTTTTTTCTGGAAGTGGTTCATGGTTCCATGATTTCCTAAAAAGCAACTAAGGCTTGTTCTTATAGACATTACAAACGTTAACCCACAATTTTGATTATTCCTGCACTCCTGCAGGTCCGTTTACTTAAATCAGGCAGACTTGACAAATCAGGAATGAAATGACTATTTTTTTTTTACTGCAGCATTATCATTACTTTGAAATTAACAAAATTTCATTGTTGTTCATTGGTTCACCTTAATGAACTATTATGTCTGTTGTTAATGGAAGATGGAAGATGAAAAACAAGTCCAGCTTGTTTACCCTTCAGAAAGCTGGCTCATCAGGGATTCAGATTCTAGTCCTCAGCTTTGGGAAATGTGATCTGAACTTAAATCAGCAACTTAAATTATTGTCTCAGGGTGGTGAGGCTCAAGGGGACTGATTCCTCCTGATTCAGATCAAAAGAATGAATGATCAACTGGATGACAATTTAGTTATATGGAGGACATAGCTCTCTAATGCCCAAATACTTAATGTTCACTATCAGCACTGCCCTGCCCAGAATTGAAAGAAAAAAAGTGGGCAAGACATCAGGAAGTGCCTCAATGTGAAAAGGCAACAAAACTCTATGGAGCAACAACAAGAATGATCATACCATATGGTCACTGTAAAAGGGCACTTCCTTTCTGTTCAATGTTTCTTAGAGAATGTCCTGGACATGATCGTTTTATAGCTAGAAGGAACATCAGAGACCATCTAATTCAACTCTTCCCTCCCTCCAATTAACAGATGAGAAAATTGGTGTTAAAAAAAAAGTGAAATGACTTGCTGAAGAAATATCATTGAACAAAGTTGATGATCCTATGAACATTCCTTTTTTTTAAATATGATTTTAATTTTGATTTTTTTTATCATTTTGAACT